TATTTTATCATCGCAAACGGAAGTTTTAAGTAATTTGGCCAAGCAGGTGTCTGGACCAAATTTATGTTTCATGCCAAAGTTAAAAATCAAATCGTTCTCTGGTCAGTTAACTGAGTGGAAATCTTTTCACGATTCGTATGTCACTTTGACACTCAGCGTGTCAAAAGTTTCAGTTGCTGAAGAGGTACTTGACGGAAGCAGCATACGAGTTAATTGGGCATATTCCTGCGACTAACGTTGGAATCTGTAACACCGGCAGCCACATCGCGTACGGGAAGCCGTTCAGTTGCAGTTAAGACACATCAAACGACGGTAGAAATGAAAGTTCAATGCCAAAAATGCGGCGGTATACATGAGTTGCATCAGTGCAATGAATTTCTTAGTATGGATGTTAAAGCTCGCAGAGCCTTTGTGGCCACTAAAGGCATATATTACAATTGCCTTAGAGTCGGTCTATATCAAATAATTGCAGCTCAAAATTTTCGTGCCGTAATTGTCGAAAGCGACATCACAGCCTCTTACATGAAGATAACCAGCAAACGCAGAAGTTGGAGTCATTAGTGGACTCTGGAGTTAATGTGAACTTTCACGCGCTACCTGCAATTAACACTCTTTTGCCGACAGCGGTATGTCTGGTAAGCGATAGCTATGGGTGTAAACAGTCGCGTCGCTTGTTGTTGGACAGCGGTTCTGAGAAAACTATTATATCAGAGAGTACCGTCAGTCGCTTAGGGCTACATCGAAAGCATGCAAGAATACCGGTACATGGTTTGGACAACTCAGCTACTGGAATATCGCGCGGCTGGGTTTCTCTTCAAATAACAAAACAACAATAATACGTTCACAGTCGATGCGCTAATTATGCCAACAATTGCATCGTTTATGCCGGCGAATGAACTAAATAAAGAGCAGTACATTTCTTTTTTGTCTTTAGACTTGGCGGATCCATTGTTTTTTATACCTGCGCCAATAGACATTCTTTTGGGGAACGATAAATTTTTTGAAATTTTGAGGGGCGAAAAGATTGGAGGAAAAGAACAAAATGTATGTGCTCTTTCAACATCACTGGGGTGGATCGTAGGTGGCGATTTAACCAACAATGCGAGCGATAGAAACGTGGGAGTATTTCTTAATAACGTACACATCGACCAAACACTTACACGATTTTGGGAGACGGAAGAGGTCGAATACGCACATTAATTGACAGAAGACGAGCTAAGGGCAGAGTAATCATTTTCGCGTACGTATACGAGATCGGGCGATGGCAAGTTTAGCGTTGAGCTTCCTTTTAAAACTAAAGTTAACAATTTTGGAAATTCTTTTGAGTGCGCCCTTAAGCGACTGCAAGCAACAGACCGCAGGCTTGCAGGCAACCCAGATTTAAATTCGCAGTATACAAATTTTATGGCGGATTACATCGCTTTAGATCATATGGAGAAGATCCCAGATGAGGAAATTAGTAAATCACGTAACGAGTGCTGCTATTTACCTCACCATCCCGTTTTTAAAAACGATAGCACAACAACGAAGCTACGCGTTGTTTTTAATGGATCTGCACGTATTGGAAGCCACTCGTCGCTGAATGATGCGCTGCCTATTGGGCCATCGCTTTTGAGAGAGATTTTTGATATTTTACTCCGGTTCCGACGACATCGCTATATAATGTCTGGTGACGTCGAAAAGATGTACCGCAAGATTTGGGTGCACGATTACCACCGGGATTTCCAACGTATTTTGTGGCGAAGTTCACCCGAGGAGCCGGTGAATCACTACAAGTTAAAAACTGTGACTTATCGCACAGCATGTGCACCATTTCTTGCAGTGAGGGTATTGGAAGAGCTTGCAAAAAAAAATCTCAAGGCACTCATCCTTTGGCATCACAGGTAATTTTTAATGATTTTTATATGGATGACGTTATGACAGGGGCAGAGACTTTTGACGACCTTCTTAAAATCCATAGAGAGCTAGTTGCTCTTCTTAAAGGTGCAGGTATGAATTTGCGTAAGTGGATAGCAACTGCAGTGAGTTACTAAATTCTCTTCCCGAAGTAATGCGAGAGATGTCGCCTGTTAACTTGGAGCCACCGAAACTGCTCAAATTACTTGGAATGAAGTGGAACCCTGTTAATGACGTATTTTCATTTTGCCTTTCATACTCTTCATCGACAGTGGCAACAAAGAAGTCGATACTGTCAGATGCGGCGCGCATATATGACCCTTTAGGTTTTCTTACACCATGCACAGTGTTGATAAAAAATGTTTTTCCAAGACCTGTGGCTTCTCAAATTAGACTGGAACAACAACAATAAATTCTTTGCAAATTCCAAGAAGAGCATTGTTCGCACTAGGTCGTAACGAATTACATGGCTTTTGCGATGCTTCTCAAAACGAGTACGCTACCGTCGTCTATTGCCGTTCTGAGTATGAAGGTAAAATAATAACTCAACTTGTGGCTGCAAAGAGTCGCGTCGCTCCGCTCAAGCAAATATCTTTACCTCGTCTGGAGTTATGTGGTGCTGTCCTTCTCTGTCCGCTGATAAATCGTGTAGTGAAGACTCTGCAATTCGATAGAATGGCAGTTCAAATGTGGACGGACTCATCGATCGTTCTTCAATGGTTATCGGCTGTGCCGCGGCGCTGATCTGTTTACATCGCAAATCGGACATCGGAGATATTGACTAGTTACAAAAGCTCTCAATGGCAGCATATTCGCTCATCACACAACCCAGCTGATCCCGCTTCTAGAGGCGTATGGCCTTCGGAACTACACATATTGAACATAATATGGTGGTATGGTCCCCCTTGGCTCAACCAACAAAAGGAGTTCTGGCCGAAGTCAAGTGCGTTGTCAGACATTCGTCATGGCGATCTAGAAGAACGTAAGAATCAACCAAATTCTCACACTAAACTCTTCATTCTATCTACAGAAGATCATATAATAATTGGTCCACTGCCGTCGCGCATTTCAAAGTGGTCTCGACTAGTGCGCTCTGTGTCATATTGTCTACGATTTATTGGTTCTGTATGCAAACGAAAATATGAAACGTTCCTGTCATCTAATGAACTCAAGGCTGCTACCGTCTTCATCATTCGTGCCGTTCAAGAAGAGTTGTTCTCAACTGGCATTGCTGCCATGAATAAAAAAATCGCAATTTCTAATAAAAGCAATCTTTTGCCACTATCACCATTCTTAGACGACAATGGAGTGCTTAGGGTAGGCGGAAGAATCAAAAATGCATCAGCATAATTTGACATTAGACACTCCATCATATTATCTTCGAAACACAAGATTGTCGAGATGTTAGTTAACTATACACATATTTTACATTTGCATGTTGGGGTTACACAGCTTATATTTATTCTGAGACAACAATACTGGATTTTGGGCTCGCGAAATCTTGCGAGAAAAATTGTTCATAACTGCTTAACGTGTTTCAAGCTGCGAAAGTCTACTCAGACACAATTAATGAGCGACTTGCCTATAGAGAGGGTGAGATTCCAACGACCATTTTCTAAGGTAGGCTGCGATTATGCTGGTCCTTTTTTACTAAAGGTTGAGGTATGCAGACTGCCGCGTAAGGTCAAGGGCTACATTTCTCTCTTTGTATGCTTCGTAACAAAGGCCATTGGCGCCTTGGATCGTTTCATTTCAAGGCGTGGACAAACGGAAGAAATTTGATCCGATAATGCGACAAATTTTGTTGGCGCTAAACGTAAACTTCATGAAATGTACCAGTTCTGAAGTTGCAGATTTTCTTTCTTTGAATGGCATTACTTGGCGTTTCATACCACCCTCATCACCACATTTCGGAGGGCTTTGGGAAAGCGATGTGAAATCGGTGAAAATACATTTGAAACGGGTAATTGGCGAAACAACTTTAACATATGAACGATTTTACACGCTCTTGGCTCGTATAGAAGCGCTGCTGAATTCGCGACCACTGTGCCCTAGCAATGATGGAGAAATTGATGCCCTTACTCCTGCTCATTTCTTGATTGGGCAGCCATTTACTGCGGGAGCAGAACCTACCGTCGACTCGGCTGCAAATATACATCCGCTAAAGCAATGGGAAAAGGTAAAACACATGTCGCAGAGTAGTTGCAATAAAGACCGCAAGAGGGGAGTACGTACGACCGGTAACCAAACTCGCATTGCTTCCTTCCTCTGTAGGACCTAGGTCATCCAGCGGCCCGGAGGATGTTCCGTAACCAACAATATAATTTCAATTTCAAGTAGGGTAATATCGAGCCCTAACCGCTAAAATAACGTAAGCGACATTTTTTTCAAAATTTTCTTTTTGATGCAGAAATGCATCTAGATGCTCTAGGAATATTTTTTTGATGCAGAATATTCCTAGGGCATCTAAATGTATTTCTGCATCAAAAAGAAAATGTTGAAAAAATTGCGCTTACTTTATTTTGGCGGTTAGGGCTCGATATGTTCTCTCATACTACCTTTCATAAATATGTATGAATGTAACCTTGTTATTTCATTTCACATAGCTAAATATACGATTCCAGTCCAGTTATGTATGGTAATATCAGCCCATAAGGTCACCTGAGGTATTTATATTTCCTGGAGTAGACTCGTTTTTTAGTTTCGCTTCAGCATCACGTGGATGCAGTAATATTTGAGTAAAACTTAAACGAACTTAAAATAAATTTGCGTTTGTAAAAAATTAAAATCATGGTGAAATAATAACAAGGTGTTGTCAGTAGCGACGTGTTTGTTG